TGTCTTGTACAAGTTTAACTTGTCAGGTGCTAGTTTTTAATCTACTAATTTAGATGATTGGAAATTTCTCATTTTCTCTCAGAACTTCAGTAAAATGATTGCATTTCAGAGCAGTGTTATTATTAGCACCTGTAACATGTACTGCCTGGAAATTTGATTGGAGAATACCTATATACTTTTGAATTGAGTGAGGGGGCATGAAACTTGGCCTTTAAACCAACTGTTTTCCCTCCCACTACCAAAAATTAGTCAAATAATGTTAGGGACAATGATTATGCTGTTGCTTATAGGCATAAGATTGCAAGAGTCTGCCATCTTTTAATTTTTTTTTTTTTGTGTGTGTGTGGTACGCGGGCCTCCCACTGCCGCGGCCTCTCCCGTTGCGGAGCACGCGCAGGCTCAGTAGCCATGGCTCACGGGCCCAGCCGCTCCGCGGCACGCGGGATCCTCCCAGACCGGGGCACGAACCCACGTCCCCTGCATCGGCAGGCGGACTCTCAACCACTGTGCCACCAGGGAAGCCCTCTTTTAATTTTTGATTGAAGAAAGAATTGGATTAATGTTAAGCATCTACACCTTGTTATTAATTGAGGATAGAGAATATATAGAAAGTTAAAGAGTACTGGGACTTCCCGGTGGTGCAGTGGTTAAGAATTCGCCTCCCAATGTGGAGGATGCAGTTTGATCCCTGGTCAGGGAACTAGATCCCACGTGCATGCCACAACTAGGAGTTCGCCTGCCACAACTAAGGAGCCCGCCGGCTGCAACTAAGACCCGGCACAACCAAAAATAAATTAAATAAATTTTTTTTAAAAAGAACTGATATAATTTATAATTAAAACTCTTAGTCTATTTCTAACTAATACTAATAAATACTACAGTTTATTATCTTGCTTCTTCCCAGGCACTTAGAAAGACCCATGTAGTATATACAGTATTTAATGTTAATTAGGTATTAAACATATTTACATATTTGAGAATCGGTAATTATGAATTATTCATTTTATATTAAGAATATTTGATTAATCAGATTCCAAAATCGTATTATTCTCCTCCTCATATCCTATTATTCTACTTCTAAGATACTAATTAAACAACAGCAATGGCAAACACCTGTGGTATACCACATAGCTGTTAATAAAGCCCATAGAAGTCAGTGATTGTAGAGGGCATAACTATGCCATAACTAGAGGCCTAGTTATGCCTCTCTAAGGGCATAACTTAGAGTATCTTTATGTGTATTTTGTGTGTACTTACACATAGGGGTGATTTTCAGTAAAAGTCAGTAGAACATATGAAGACATAGGATATAAATTATTGGTACAGGGTCCTAACATCCCCCAGGTGGCAAGAATTAATCCTTTAGTTCTTAAATCTTTGTGAGAATGGGAATTGGTGGGGACAGACCCTTGGGTGACTTGAAACAAGGCCTATTTATTAAACTTCATGGAAATATTCAGTACTTTGACATCTGATATCAGCCTTTAATTGAAAATTTGTTTACTTTCAACTGTTTAATTGAAAGTTTGTTTACTTTCAATTAAACGGGGAGGATCTATCCTTTTTTATAGATTGTTTATCATTTTTGTCACAGTTATTTGTTAATTCCAACGTCAGGATTGTTTATGAGTCTGTTTACATTGATGGATTTTTCTCGACTCTGGGTCACGTTTTCCTTTTTATTCAGACATCTGGTCATTTTTAATCACAGTACTGTGGATGATGATGATGTAGAGATTCTGCATTCTGTTAACTTTGTCAGAGAAGTGTTGAGTTTTGCCTAGAAGGCAATTAAATTACTGGAGGGTAACCTTGATCTTGTTCCTAATCGTCATATGCAGTGATTCTTCCAGGGAGATACAAGCTGGGGAGAGGGAGAATGTGGTTTGAAAAAAACCGAGGCTGACTCCTGCTG